CTTTGTTGTATCAAAAGATTTTCAGAATGAATACTGATTTGACATTGTATGCAAGCATAACCTTGTTCATCTATGTTTTATTCGCAAAAGTTTGCCAAATTTCTGACTTGTGTTCACGCCAGATTTTTCCCCTAGGGGTCCAGTCCTTAACCCGCCAATTTGGAGTGAGGCTGCAATGCCTGCCACAAGCCCAGGTATTCCGGCCATTCCAATTGCACTGCAGCCAAAGTCGCCTTGTCACAAGCTTTGCCTCCTGCACACGCACAGGATGCAGACCGGCCAGGTCGTTGTCGTTGACAGCCTTCAACCTAGTTCTTCTTGCTTGGGCAAGGCGTGCAACGCAACCTGCATGCTTGGCACTCGTGTGCAACCGGTCAACCACGGGGTGACGTCCGGAACATGCCCAACTTTTCGCCCAAGGCAAATGCCTTCTTCTTGTGTCCCCCAAGCACCTGAGAACACACATGTTAGTGAGCCATGCCGCAGCCACGCGCATTGCTTGCATGGCCTACTGTTCTCGCGCCTGTTTGTCATCTGCGCATTCTAGAATGCCTTCATGAGGGGTACAGTTTCAGCTACACCCGTAGCTCTGTCACACACGTGGCCGCCTGCGCTTGGGAGCGTCAAGCTTACCTTCGCGCCGCACGCCACTCCAGCCGGTAGATCATTTGTGTGGAGGTCGGACTACGCAAGTCGCCCCACGCAAATGCCTGACTCCTGGATTGGCAACCGATCCATCTGAAAAGGAATGTGCGCGTCCTTACTTGCAATTTTATATGTTTTCATTCAGATTGATAAATTTGAATGAATACTCATTTTACATTGTATGCAAGCATAACTATTTGGGATAGAACTAAAAGCTTCATTTGCGCAACCCCCCCGACCCTGGGGAGCTTTGTGTGCACCATGTTGTGGAAACCTCCACATGTGCACCATGTTGTGGGGAAAGTTTCGGGTCTGTGCGATTTGATTGATTGGGTTATGCAATAATACATCCTATATTTGAAGCAATGGTTTACCTTTGTTTTTCACATACGCTGGATGTGATGAATTCAATGATCATAACTGACTGGGTATCTGAGGCTATTTGTCTTACTTGTAGTTGCCCCATTTCCTGAGTGGCTTATACATAAATTCATATCTATATTTATGCCCTCTTTTGATCAAATATTATTTGGTTGAATTCTTTTGGGATGATGTGAGAGACAACAAATGATGTGGGTGATTGCAGCGGTACATGTCTGTCAACTGCATGGCTGTGAACAATCATCATGCTCAACTTGAGCCGAATACATGATGATATTGAATTCGAGAATTGGCGATGTATATGCGATTTGGCCATGAAATCAAGCTTTGGCGTGGAACGTCTTCACGTTTGACTACGAAAACGTGCTCTCATACGGCGTGTTCTCACACTTTTTCTTTGAAGTCGACTTCTGGTGTGGCACAACCTCATATTTCGACTACAACATCGTAATTGAATCGTGAACGTGCGGTTCAATTGGTGTGAATCAGGTTTCCCCACATTCTTCTTAGATTTTTTTTTGGTTTGAACCTTCACCACATATTGTGGCCGGTGTGAAGCACTCCGAAATTTTGATGGGAAGCTGAGGTGTGGCTTGTAGTGTCTTCATATTTTCCTCCAAATCCACACCCTTGTGAAAAAAAATAAAGCCTCGTTCAACAACATTTTCCCAACAACATCCGTCCATTTGTACAAGGTGCTCATGCTCACCGTTTTGTGCGCTGGCTTTGTCATGCATAGTCTCACGTTCGGCAATAACAAGCAGCACGCTGCGCCACAGAATCCAAGCATTCCAGGTATTTTTTACAATTGAATCATGGTGTGAATGTCGCCCAAGCCCAGCAAGTGCCAACGCCAAGCGGCATGCGAAGCTCTCGACGCATGATGGCAGAAGAGAGCTTTATTGTCGAACAGTTAGTGTGCGAGTGCCGCAGCTCCCCGACTTGCACATCCGAAGCTTTGATGCTGCTCACCGATGCGAGGCCTGGAAATCGTGAAGATCGCGTTTGCAGTCTGGCGAGCTTTTAAGCATCCCAGGGGCAAGGAGGCACTGAGTGCTGCACAGTAGAGACTCTAGCCTGCTGCTTGCTGCCGCTTTCGGCTTGCTGTACCTGTCTACTCCGCATTCAGCACTTGAACCGCAGGAGTTTCCCATGTGCTGGTGCCCTTTCGATGAGTTGGAACTGTGATTCGGAGCCGGTGACAGGAAAAACAGCGTCGATGTGTTTGGATGCTGTTTCTACAGCTACGGCTTTTAAAGCCACAATGGTGGTGCATCATTTTGTGAAGCGTTGCATGTCCGCTGTGTGTGCTTCTTTTTTGTTGCTCAAGCTTTCTCTCAGTGTTTGCTGTTGATACCCGCGCATCGTCAACAGGACGGCCATGATCTTCCGGCAGCTTTGCTGCCTCCTTTCTATTGGGTTGGCAGCTGGACAAGAGCTGAAAAATGTTGCTATCACTGCAATCGGCGAAGATGGCCAGGCTGTTGTTGCGGGAAGTAAATTGCAAGGCCTTGATATCACGTTCACGACCTACACTGCAGGGGCTACTACAGCCACCATTGAGCTCCCTTCTGGCTTGATCACTGCGACTGGATCGGTGAACTTGACATTTACAGCCCCTGGTGGCACGACAGTCACCTACACCACCACAACGGTGACGACAACAACATACTTGTCTGATGAGAGCGACGAGAATAGCACCACCGCTGCCCCCACGCGTCGGATGTCCACATATGACAGGTACTACTCTTCCCGAAGGTTGTCCGGCAGCTGCGTTGTGACTGGTGCTTCCATCTCTGGGACGACTATGACGCTGGACCTCGCCGGTAGTGGGCCAGGAGGTGCCTGCCAGTCAGGAGACACAGTTTCCACCTCGGTCACAGCAGATTCTGGCGGGTCAGCCACCTTCAACAATGCCCCCGCTGGCACCATCAATTTCCAGATTTCAACAGACACGGATTCTGTGGTCATCCCCATTTCGCTTTCCCCTGATGGCAGCGGGGGCTTCACCGTGTCTGTGGTAGGGGATCCCATCACTTGGTATGGAGGCAAGAAGATCAAGTTCTGGTTCCCCAACTACAAGCTCATGCCGTTGCTCAAAACGCCGGAGTTGACAGTTTGGGCCAGCACCTTCGAGGGTCCATCCCAGGACTACCAGTGGTTTGAACGTTTCGCCGGGCCCCAAGTCACTGCAGCATCCGTTTGGTTTTTGGTTTTGGTGCGCTGCTAGGCCGTTACAGCGGCAAATGGAAACGAACTCGTTGACATCAAAGTCCGCCATATGCACCCGGGCATGAACAAGAGCCACTTCAGCCGAGGCACGTTGACTTGAAGAGAGGGTAGCCTCGCGCATACTTGCAGCAGCTGCTAGCACTATTCTGCCATGTCCGTGGCAGGCAACTTCAGGCAGCCCCTTGCTCCTCAAGCTGGCGATTCCTTCTATCACATTCTTCAGCAGTCTTGCTTGTGCTCGCGAGCAAATGCTGCAAGTCGAGACCAAAAGCTTTTGATTGAAAAAGCTTAGGCTGGATATACGACTCCAAGGCTCCAAGCAGTTGCGTTCTCATTCTCAGAAGCTCTTTGCGTCTGCTGATGGGATGCTCGGCTTGCATCTCGCTGTTCATGCTTGCCGACTGTACGCTCAGAGTGGTGTTCCAGGCGTCCAGGACACTTTCTTGATGGCTTGCTTGCCTCAGGAAGGTGAAGATTGGCGTTGGTGCTCGTGTCTACCACCCGCCACGTGTGCATTTCTCCCCTTTGGCATCCACGCTGCAAGTATGACATTGTTGTGATCCTCAAGACAAATTCTCCACTCCGTGCTTTGGTTCGTACTGATCCAGGTGGAGTTTGTCATGGTCGAGCCCTTCAGATGCAGCGAACGCGAAGTAGTTTAAGGCGGTAGCTCTTTCTTGAGTCTCGAGCAGGTGCCGTCTGCTAGGTCCTTGCACATATTGCTAGCTAGTTTTGGATGCTTTGCCGAGCTTTGTTGATGGTCGAAAATGGTATCTTGATCTGAACATCGTCGGAGTCGTTGGATGCTGAACTTCCTAAGCCCAGGACCGAATCAATATCTTTCATGGTTCATGCCTCACACGCTGGGGCAGAATTTCCGGACGACGTCACCAAGCAGGCCGGTCGCTGTTCTGATCACGTACGCATGTCTGCTGCGCTCCTGTCTCAATATATGAGCCATTAGCCAAGCGGTTGATAGCTACAAGCACGCGTGATACCCTGCAAACAGCCCGTGAGGTCAAGTACACGCACTTGGACTGGATCAACCTGGAGATGGTGGGCGTGGCTTGCCCAAATACGGAAGCACATACATGTGGACATGTGGACATAAAGCTGCAAGCAGAAGCATCGCACAAGCTTCGCTTGAATCCAAGGCTGAACACTTTGAAGGCATTCTCCCACAGATCCTAAGCCGCATAAGCTCCGCTTTTGGCGTGTTTTTCGCAGCTGAGCCGTGGAACAATTTCGCAGTGAAAGCATGTTCCCGCGGCGCGTGAACCTGTCTCAGGCTCTGGGGCACTATTCCTCGCACACCGGAGGTGGAGGAGATGTTGCTCGCCCCCAGCAAGCGCCAGCAACAGGTGGCATGCGGAGAGCTCCCGACACATGCTTGCAATTCAGAGTTCACTGAGGGCCTGATGGCGTTTGAGAGCTACTTTTTCTTAACTTGCACATCCAATGCGAGGCCTGGAAATCGTGAAGATCGCGTTTGCAGTCTGGCGAGCTTTTAAGCATCCCAGGGGCAAGGAGGCACTGAGTGCTGCACAGTAGAGACTCTAGCCTGCTGCTTGCTGCCGCTTCCAGCTGTCTGCTTTTGTCCAGTGCTTGCCAAATGCTTGACATGTTTGCTGTGGCAGTAGAGTGAGCATCTCCAGCAATGCCTGGAGCGTGCTCCTGTCTCAGACGGAGTGCTAGGGTTTCTACTGTGCTCGTGCCAGAATGACACCAATGATGAGCACTCTTTCCTTGTCACCATGTTGGACGCCTGTCAGCACATGCAATTGATTTCATCGTGGTCATATGACAATTTCAAAAAGCATGTCGGGGAGGTGTCTGTCACTGTGCCGGAGCTTTGAGATGGTTAGCTGGGCCGAACGGCCGTCTCACAAAGCATATGGCTTGTATGCTAAGACAGGACAAAAACCAACCCAGCCTCGACTGACTTCCGGGACCTTCAGGTGTGTAAGCTGTGGGGCGTTGCGCTACTGAGAGTGAGGTGCGGCGGCAGAGCTATTGCTTACCACTCTTGTTTTGCTGCGCTCTCATCCTATTTACATTGTTGACTTGGACACGGAAGAGGCAGCGTTCCTAGCAGTTGGGTCAGCGGAAGCAGTATGCAGTGCTTGGCTGCCCTAACGTTAATCTGGAGACCCTTCATCTTGAAGTCTAGAGTTTGCCGCGAAGGTCACTCAGCATTTCGTTCGAACGAGCAGCTCAAAGGCAATTTCAGTTGCTAAGTCAAGTGACGGTTCAGGAAATGCCCGAAGCAGCCATGTTAGTTTGGTGACGAGTTCTGGCTCATGACCTCGCCACGGAGTCAGTGACAGCACAATGTCCTATTCAATTGCACATTACAAGATGGCCGAGAAATTATGGAAGAGACATGAATCGGAAGGCCAGACCTTTCATTGCCGAGTGTTACCTGCTGCATCTGTAATCTGTTCCTACCATCTTCTGCCCGTAGCATCTTTGCAGTCTCACTGAGGGCAACGCGATATATTTCCTATGCTGCTTCAGGTTTCTGCAACACTTTTCAGTTCTCAGGCAAGTCATGCTCGGTGCTGCGCCTGAAGCACTTTCTCAAATTCATTAGATTGCAGTCACACCTTGCTTGAAGCCAGAGCATCAAAGTTGCAAGGCCTCAAACCTAAAACTCACGTAACCCTTAAGCCTCCCTCTGCAAACTTTACGCCCTAACCTAGCAACTCGCATGTACGTTCGTGCCATAATCTACTTTGTAGTAGTTGTGCCTATAACCCAAGCATGAATCCTCCTCCTGACACGGTTAACTGTGCTATTCTTGAAAGAAGCACGCATCAAGTGATCGCCTGGAAGCTAGCAGTGCATCTAGCACACTGCACTGCATGTCCACAGCATGATGAAAGCAATGCGCCCCACCAGTCGCCCATCTCATTCTCTGCAAACATAGAAGCCTGGGCCATGCTGGCTTTTGCTGTTGGTCAGTCGACCCCTTGCCCAAGGACTCATTGCATGTTGGCAGATCGTAAAGACTTTGCACACTCACTGGGTGACTTAGGAGGTAGTGGGAAAGCTAGCTGTATGTGTCCGCAGTTTTGAGCCTCTGGGTCGTTGCTACATGATAACCATGTCATGGCTTACAAATTGAGAAAATGCTGTTGACAAGTTTCAGCTACAGACTGCCAGAAGATCTCCATGATCTACATGAGCAATAGTCTAAACTCCTTAGGGGGGGTTATATAGGGGATTACTATAGGGGATACTAAGGGGGATACTAGGAGTCTAGACTATGGCTCACATGGCTTGGGCCTTAATGGAGTTGACAGCCTTCAAGGAGTATGGGGCACCCTGGGATGCCGAACTATCCCCATGTTCGACTTAAGGATCCGAAAGATGGAGCTCGCAAACGATGTATCACTTAGGTGATGATGGAATTTTGGTTGCTCTAACCTCCAAAATATGGACCCCATCATAGACGTAGGATAGCTTTAGGATCCTAGTTTGGGAGGGTGAGGTTACCACCCATTCTGAATTTCTTTTCCCTGCGGCTTCATTTCGTGGATGGCTTCTGGGATGTATATAAGTACAACCACACTGAAAACGCTATTTGGAGACTCATGCATACCGGTAGATACAAGGGGGCTTGATTGGTACAAATAAGGCTATGGCTTACGCCCTAACAATCCCAGAACCAGCGGATCAAGGACTTTAAGCTGTAGCCTGAAGGTTTGTACCCTTGGATTTTGGTGCCTGAGTACTGGAATTGAGAGCTTCATTCCATGGTTCCGAGAACCAAGCCCGAGCGTACAAACCCTAAGGGTGCAAAGGACAATTCCCCAACCCTAAACCCTAAACTGAGTGGAGCTTTGCCAGGTGTACTTGCTGGTTACTTGTGCCTGTGCGGTGGACAAGAACGCCGCGCACTTTGCAGGCCTTACGCACCTTGCCTTGTTCAGAGGGTTTCGGTTTAGGGGCTTACATTAGGGGTTCGGGGTTCACGAAGGCAACACCTCAGGGGTTTGGGGTAAGTACTTGACAAACCGAGCAGCAGTTTCAAGGAATCTTGGGCCGGCAGAGCGCCTGGAACAGCCAAAGCCCTAAACCCAAAGCCCAAACCCGTAAAGTCTATGCCAAACAAGTGGCCCAGTGATTAAGCACCGCCTTGACAAGGGGGGTTCTCCACATAGAGGGCCATTTGGGGACCTTAGAGGCACATGGGGATTACGAGCGGGTTATGTCCGTCGTGAGAAACTCTATAGGGGCAGTTTTGCAACATTTCCATGTTTGCTCCCCAAACCTTCGTTCAGTAGTCTTCACCGCCATCTGGGGTAGAGCGACTCGTGTCCGCCCCATGCTTCTAAAGGCCTACAGTGGGCCACAATTGCAACCGCTGCACAGATCCAGAGTCGCTGTTGGGATTCTTTTTTAGAGAAGCGTCCATTTCACAAAGACATAGACATGCCCCGCTGCGATATTGACATCATCCTTTACACCGACGGCAGAGCTTGATTCCGCTTCTGCTGATATTCATCGGAATGTTTGTCTTGCGCACTTATCCTAGAATCCTAGAAGTTGCGGCGTGTCAGTGCAGAAATCTACCAAAGCTGCAGCCTCAAGTCTGTGCTCCAAGAAGTCTGTAAATTTTGAGCCCTGATCTACTTGGTGCTTTGTGCTGAGGCCATGGGGAGAGGGTCCCAGAGTGAAGAAGAGACTTGGCCGAGATCAGAAGCCCTGTTCTCTTTGTGTTAAAAAATCGCGGAGGGACATGAGTCTCACTTATTACTTGTGTTGTACAGGCTTTGTAGAGAAGGTACGTTTTGAAAGTCTCAATCTAGAAGTGCTTGGGCCGTCAGAGCGAAGGGTCATTTTCTGATGAGCTTTTGGTCTCCTTGTTACAAATGCTGGCTTGTGGAGTTTATCGGTAACGTCATCAGAGTACCTCAGGAGGATGAGCTGGATGGATTTCCAGTCGAGGACCGCCTTGGTTAATGCCACCGTTTTTCTCATGCTTCCGAAAGCTCAGGGTTTGTAACGTCTTACTTTGCCTCACACAGCGTGGCAGACAGGGCAGGAAGAAGGCTTCGATGTGCAACCCGTTCGGATGTGACGCGCCACACTCGATGGGCTCCACCTGGCAGCCACTGTTCAGTCTAGAGATTAAGCCACATCCTTGCAATGCTTCAAGCCAAGAATCCAAGATGCTTTGAGCACATGACTGCCAGGGCTTCCTACGCTTCTTCCGCGAAAAGAGGACAAGCCTCATGCAGAGTGCAGGGTGCGGGTCCAATCAGAACAGTGGCTGCCTGTTGTTTATATTCCGCCAAATCGAAGCGGGGTCGAGACCGCACTTTTCCGGCTGCGGACATGATAAAGGTACACTTCAACGTTGCTGTAATGCACGATCCGATTGATCAGCATTCAGCATTCCGGTTCTCGCACGCGCTGTATTTTCCATACTAGCCAGGAGCCTCTTTTTACAATATGGGCAGCGTGTGGCCTCATCTTGCAGCCTCTCCTCTACGCGATAAGCTGACTAGAGAGAGAGAGAGAGAGAAGTTGCCGGCGTCGCAGGCCACATAACCTAGTTAACTACTAACAGGTTGCTGTTGCTTTGCAGTTTAACCCAGCAGTTACAAGTGGCCAGAAGTAAGGGGACTACAACCTTGCAAGCTGTTGGAGCAGTTACCCCCAAAAATAATGTATTGGCAACACCTGGGCAACAAGTTCACAGGCCAGTCAACCTTTCCCACACAATACTTGTCAACAATTTTGTGCAGATGTAATCCTCCGTATGTTTGAACACACAAGTTGAAACTGGCATAGAGTGCACCTTACAGGGATACGTCCTTTAAGAAAGTTTCAAACACTGGGCAACCACCATATTAAGACTTTTCAACTAAGTGTATGGGCCTTGTCAACCTTGCTCCTGTGGTGCGTTCCCAGTATGCTTGAAACAATGAGGGGTGAACCAGCAAGTCTGCCCAACACGGGCTGGGCAATGTAGCCCGGAGGGAGGCCTTGACCTTCCTCCATAGCCTGAACGAAAGAAAGAAAGAAAGAGAGAGAAGAAGAAGAGAGAGAAGTGAAAGCTTCGGTCCATTGCTGGCATTTGTCTTGATCCTCGTACAAATTCAGCATTCAGAATTTGAGCTTGAGCTTTCCCGTGTATGTAATGGAAACAGATCGAATACCATGAGAATGGACAGTGGCTCTCTTTCGTTGCTGCAGATAAATCGTCCCAGCAATGAAAATGCAAGAGAAAATCCACCAGTTGAAACAAGTCAGACCTCCAGTTTGCGTCTTGATTGTGACATGATGCCTTGATTCAACTATAAGAAAGTATGGCGTTGTCTCCTGATCGTCGCACAAGTCGAACACAGAGTCATCAATGACCACAACCGACCCCAACCGCTGTTTGCAACGCGTGAGTAAGAGGAACTCTCCCGAGCCAACTCGGACACCATCCTGGGCTGCATCGCTTGCAACCAAAAAAGAACACTGGACCTAGCAATTTTGGTTGTGATCCAAAATGGCAGCGGACAATCAAGGTTAGCTCAAGTGTTGCATGTGTAACAATGCTTGCTGTGCTCCAAGCCTGCCCAAAGCAGTACACAGAACAAAAACTAACGATAGGGAGAAATCCTGGATAAAGAGATGATTTTTGTGCTCGGATTTACATACTCTGAACTGTAGACGTTGCGTCTGACTCAGTAGTGTGAATTGCCCACATTAGCCTTGTTAGAAGGGCAAGCTCAAGCAAGACGCACGTGTTCTGATGTTTTGGGTTGAAAGTTGAAATCAAAGACCAGTTCCAGTATTTATTTCGATTAGCTAGACTGATTCAATTAGTAGAACCACGACGAAAATCTGGATTGAGAGGCAACAATCTTCATCTAAATCATAGAAATGGGTTTTTATCTATCCGTTGAAATGAGCGAGAGAATCAGTATAGTTCCAGTGCAATGGCTAATTGTTTAATCACTCATTTTTAACAGTTTCATCTTTTTTGTAGTGTGGCAAATCCTGGTTTGCGGGGTATTGTTTTTAATTCGGATTTCATCTCAACTGCATTCTCCTGATTTGTTTGAATGATCTGAAAAGAGGAACTGGCACCTGCTTCTGTTGTTCAAGTTTTGTTTACGTGAAACCCGGCAAAGTTCAAAGTTCTTGACAACTCAAGATTTCCCGCGGAATCATTTACTCCAATAAACTGAATCAGCTTAATATCTTAATTCAAGGATCTGGCCCTTTCTTATCATTGAAAGGTTACGGGATTTCAACAATTGCATGCAAGCTGTCACATCACTTTCCAAAAATTAGGTTTCCCCTGTTCTTCCCTGAGTATTTGTATGATCCGCAGTACAAGGAGCTGCAAAAAGGATATCTTTACTTTGGAAGCTTTTCCTCTGGCGGCCACAGCCATGTAAAAGCATGTGGCTAATGATATTCCCCTAACCAAAGATCTGAGGAAGCTTCCTCACCGACACTTTCACGCATGATTTCCTTCTCAGCAGTGACCTTCTGTTGAGAACAGCTATGAATGTGCAATCCTGATTAGTGTAGGGGGACCCCTCTCTCAACAAAAAATGGATCCCATGTGGATATAAGCGCGGAGGGGTCCCCTCTCCAGACAAATCTGGATCGTAGCGTTGAATATTAAATTGAGTAGGCGGAGGGCCTCCCTTTGAATTCAACAGAATAGGAGGAAGGGTATCCTGAGCTCAAAATGTGCTTTAGATCAATACGAGGAGCTCGGAATCTGTTTTAGACTTAAACTCAATAGGAGGAGCGCTTCGGAGCTCAGTCGCTCTTCCGAATTAAATTCAATTTCAAAGGAAAGGCTTTTGCTCTCCGGAATCCCCAGGGGCCCCGAAAATTTCGGATCATTGAGGCCCCCCAAAACATTCGCATTATTGAGGGCCCAAGCAGCTGCTAGACTACCCCCTTGCAAAAATGATTGCCTGGTCTCCTTCGAATAAGCGGCTTAGTAAGACATCGATAATTTTCCACCTGGCCTGAAAAAACCTGAAGTCCTGAAGCTTAAGATCCTCGAGGCAAACGTTCTAATTTCAAATTAGGGTAAGATCAGCTTGGGTTAGGAAGCAAGTTTGCTCTCTAGAAAGCTTATTCTAGACCGTGCAACTTCCTCCAAACGAATGAGGGGGTGCTGATTAATTTTGGCGCAACGTCACACAATTAAGACCCCCCAGACAAATCGGGATCAAACACTACTCAAACATCAAAAATCAATGTTACAAGACTGCAAAAAACAGAATCACATATTCCAGGAAGCCTCCAGAACGTGTATGTACTTTATAAGAGTCAGTTTTTTCTCTGTTGTTTGGGCTTTACTTGGATTGCGCAAGGCCCTCGTGGTTGACATAGATCAGGAAGTGCTTGTTGAGGACTGTAGTCACTTAGTCATCGTGAAGGTGCTAAAACGCTGCGGTCCTGATCCAGCTTTGTGGTCGTTCCAGCATAGAGCAGTGGTGCACGATGGCTCCTTCTGCCCAGGCTGCACTTGCTTTCTCCGAATCGTTCAAGATTGAGCGCCGTGGCCTGCTGCTCAGAGCTTCAGCAGTTTGTTTTCGGGATGCCAAGCCCACTGTGGCAAGGCAGCTGAAGCCTGGACAAACCTGGGCTCTGCACGTGCGGGAACCCAGGACAGCATTGCCTCCTCTTGGCGTGCAACATGACGTGACCATCTGGGGCGTGCTCAGGTCAGCTCCAATATCAGAAAGACGCTCTTGAGGCTGGACCCAGACGCTGAAGGTTTGCGGGGTTACCCTTGTGAACATCAATGTTAGTGTTCTGTCCGCCAGGTTCACGCCAGCGCGGCCGGTGAGCTTGAGGCAGTAGTGTGTCTGCCTCTCTGACTGGTGTTCTGGTTTGAGTGATACATGCAGGGATCGTTTTTGAAGGCACGGTCTGGTTCACAAGCTCACTTCTCTGCACAGTAGATGGTACTGTGCTGAATGCCTGTTTTGGCCCCCTTTCATGCAGTTTGTTCCAGGAGCTTATCAGCGGGGAGGAGATGGACGCCAGGCACAGGGCCGTTGATCTCTTCCAGGACATAGAGCAGTCTGCATACGAAGAGCGAATGCTCACATAGTCACAGTCGGCTTCACAATCCCCCAAGCGCTCAAGGCCCGATGGTGTCTACTCCAGTGGGAAGTATTCATACCATAGCCACTAGCTGTTGCAGTCCACTTCTTTGACGCTGTGAATTGGCTCAGAGTTAGACGACAACTCGCCGGCCAAAAGGGGCGGAGGGGGGCGCGGGAGTTGAGCCCACCAGTCGTGCAACGGACACTTAGCTTGGATGGCATTGTCTAATACTGTACGTGCCATTGGACCGAGATGATCTTGCTTCAGAGGTCGTGACAAGCGTTTGCGGACAGCAGTGACCACGGTGTCCCATTGCATGAGGCAAATGCCGTGAGTAAGTCAGGGTGTGCTTCAAAAAAGCTGCCCACACACACAGCAACCTTCTTGGTGCAAGCAAGCCGGATTTCCTCTGGTGCTCTTGATCGCTCAGCTTTGCTGAGGGCATGCTTCGGTTGGGGCCATACCCGCCTCCGCTGATCGACATCTCTGACCCCGAGGAGCCACCACTGCTAGAGAGGTATTGAGAAGCAGACATGTGCTCTTGGCTTCGATGGGCTTTCTGTTCATGGGCTTAGCAGGACTTTAGAGGTAAAACCAATTGGGACCACTTTGCAGGAACTCTGGACAGAAAAAGCCGAGGGTGTTCCAATCCTTGCCAGTGACCTCGAATCAAGTGCACGCCGCTCAAACTCTGTTGCTCTGTGCAGCTCGCTCACTGACGGACCAGCAGTTTGAGGGTCAAGACGGTAAGCATATTCATATACGTTGCAAGCAAAGAGCTTAAACGCCAGAGCAAATGGAGCTTGATGCTAATGCATGCTGATGCAGTTTGAGGTTGCTTCGCCTTGGGATGATCCGTCGGAGCCACGTTGCCTGGAGATTTTGGAGGCATTCGTGTTTTTCTTTCGTTAGCAGGGTGCGCTGCTGCACTTTCCTGTTGGCATACCGGGGCTTTTATCGTCAAGTCTCTAGAAGACTGAAGCCAGGCGAAGCCCGAGTCCGTGCAGGACCGGGTGCGTAGTGTTGGGGTTTCAGACAACTGATGCATCCGTGTTGAACAGATGAGAGTTAGTGTTATGGATTGGGACAGGTGGGGTGGCTGGAAAGCTTGCAGGAACACATTAATGCCGTCCTGGGCTTCAATACCTTCCGCCGACTTGGGCAGGCATGGTCTCTTGCCCAAACATCAACGTGAAAGGAAGAGACGTCTCTGGGTTGTCCGACTGTGGTCAGGTAGTGTCGCAGGCGGAGACGGCCCTGCCATCCGAGCTCCAGGCCGAACGGCGTGAGGACGGGAGACCTCGCTGCTTCTGGTTTTTTTCCTCCTCTGTGTATTTGAACCCAAGGCAAAACAAGGCCCCATTATGTTCTACTACCTGGGTCTCTGCTCAGAGGCTTACTAAACTAGCGATCCATGCCTGAAGGATCATGTTATGCATGCTCTCAGCAAAGGCGTTGCCGAAGCAGTAGGTTGTCCCTGAAGCTTCATAAGGAACGTTCTCTGATCGACCCCTCTGCTTTCCTCTCCTGGTCGCGCGCCTCATGGGAGCCAGCCAAGCACGAAAAGCTCATGCAGAGCAACTAGTACTATACTCGTTGTCGGCATCGTCGTAGTAGTCGTTGCTGCAGCAGCTGTAGTCGACCAGCAGCAGAAGCAGTGAGCAGTAGCAGTATCAGCAGCAGCAGCAGGAGCAAAAGTAGGAGTAGCAGTAGCAGCAGCCGTAGCAGCAGCAGTGGTGGTAGTGGTGGCGGTGGTGGTGGTGGTGGTGGTGGTGGTGGTAGTAGTAGTGGTGGTAGTGGTAGTGGTAGCGTTTTGTTTATTTTATTGTTTTGTTTTCCTCATTTTTTTGCGTTCATGCGCGCGAAACCGCAGTTTCAGCAACATTTTATTCCAATTTTTCGTCAAATTTGTCAACACGGCCTTCCCAAGCTGTTCCTCGTTGTTGTCATTTTCCCGTTTCGCGTTTCTTGCCGTCGATGTTTTCCCATTGTCAAGCTGCTCAAAACCCCAGTTTTGGCGCGCTCGAGATTTTGTTGATGCTTGTCTGTTCGTATTTGCGTGCGGGGTAATTGTTTTTTGTATGATCTCTTCCCTCCGCTGCTTTTCCGCTGCATGTTTCTTCGCATGCATGCAGTTTTTGCATGTTAACCCCCCAAATCAAAAGTTTCGGGGGAAATAAAGCACCTGAAGCTACAACTATGATGGTCCTGTGCTGATATGGGGGGGGGTGGGGGAGAGGGTAGAAACGTTAATACAATCTTGAATCCAATAGCAAAGTCTCATCTTTTTTGCTTCTGCTCCTGCTGTTGCTGCTGGCTGCTGCGAGTGTCATCTTCTTTGCTGCTTCTGCTGCTGCTTCTTGTTTCCGTTGTGGGCTGCAGCCTAAATCCTACAGCTGTATGAAGTTGCACTCTGCTGGGGAGGGGTGCATTTGGGTCAGGATTCCGGACACAGAAACCTAAAGGAGTGCAGAACTTAAACCTCCCGTCTCCGCTTCAGGCCTAGTCATGAAAAGACGACTAATAGTCAAGTCTTGCTAGGAGAACCCCCTGAGTGTCCCTGAAGGGCCCCATTTATGAAAATCCTTGACTAGTATTACCCCAATATTATTCACGGGCCCCCCTATTAACCCTAACGGCCCGAGTTAGGAAAACATTGGCTGGTGATGGCCAAGTCTTACTGGGAGAGCCCCATTCGTATCCCTGAAGGGCCCCATTCATGTACCAAAACATTCTTGAGACGTCCCCTTACTATCATCCCTAACGGGCCAAGCAGATCATGATGGGGGATTGTTAAAATGATTGGGCAGCTTCCGCAGGGACCCTCCCCTAGACTAAACCCCTAAACCCTAAACGGGGACCCATGTCAATGTAGCTTCTGGCGGGGCACTAGGGAGACTACCTGGGAATGGATTTCATGCAGCAAAGGCAAAGCTTCAGGGTTTAGGCTTCGGGTGTTAGAGTTTCGGGTTTTGGAGTGTAGGGTTTAGGGTGCCGTGGGCATTTCCTACTGCCAAAGATTAGATATTATAAGTGCCGTTCATGACGACTGATAAGACTTAGAAGTACACCACAAGGTCATTTTGCCCCTTCAACTTACGAGTGCCGCGTCTGCCAGTGTTTTTGAAGCACCTGAGCCGCGATAACACACGGAGCAATAAATCGCCGTGACCTAGTAACGACTTCGTCGTCGTCGGGGTGGTGGTGGTGGTGGTGGTGGTGGTGGTGGTGGTGGTGGTGGTGGTGCTGGTGGTGCTGGTGGTAATGGTAATGGTGATGCTTGTGGCAGTGGCTTGGTGGAAGAATCAATGGTCGTGGTGGTGGTGGCGGTGGTGGCGGTGGTGGTGTGGTGCCGGTGGTGGTAGGCGCAAGCCTTCCTACCAATGATGCTTTGCGTTTTCTCTGCGGGTAGCCGGCATCATAGCGGAAGCATCTTTCACAGCAGGGCCTTGTTGCTGGTTTATCATAATGTATGACAATGACATCATGTCGTGTTTGTGACTCACATCTGGCCAGCAGACGCCAGAATCACGGTATGCAGAGAAGCCTACACAGACACCCTGATAAACAACTTCGGGGGTTGTATCGATACTGAACAAGTTCAGTCTTACCAGACCAGTGTAAAATTCAAGGCGTTCAGGACGGCTCGCTCACCCCTGCGCTTTGGCCCCAAGAGCTTGAAAATGAGGAATGCCCGGTAGCGGGCGCCTGTGGTAGTTCTAGTGGAGGTGGTGGAAGTGGAGGAAGTGGTGGAAGAAGGTGCTTTAGGTGGTCGTGGCGCTGGCAGCGGCGGTGGTGCTGGCGGCAGCGGCGGTGGCGGCGGCGGTGGTGGTGTTTGTGGGGCGGTGCAGCAGCAATGGTGGCAGCAGGAGTGGTTTGTGACTAGTTTTAGTAGTTGCATAAGTATTTCATTGGCACAGTTCTAACAATAGCATCACCAATTTCAATCGTTACTGGTCTTGATAGCGGAAGGTGAGTAGTAGTTTCAGGGCAGCAGCAGAATCAGGCACAGGAATGCGAGCAATAGTGCCAATCACCGCAGCATCAGTGGTACCATCAGTATAGGTAGTAGATGGTATCAGTACCAGCCGCTGCCACTGCTATAACAATTGCCGCCATAAATGCTGCTACAACAGGTCCTGCTTTTCTGACAGTTCCCATGATAGTACGATTTGGATGTTCGCGTCTGCCAACTGCTACTGCTGTCATCATTGTAGCAGTGTTGGTGGGTACCAGGATGACAACTGCGAGTAAGATTCTATCATTGGTCTTCACTTGAGAAATTGTCACCAGCTGCAATCTTAGCCCTGCAGTGAGGAGCTACGAGAGCGGGCACTGGAGGCCTTGAAGGCCGACCTAGTTTTTAGGGCTGAAATATTTTTAATGCAAGTTCTTGCCGATCGGTACTTAGGAGGAGGAATCCACCTGATCTCCATGGTATTGCAGACTGGGGAGCCTGCAGGAAGGAAGCATTTTCTGAAATGACTGACGAGGTAAATGGAGGTAACACTCCCGAATCCAGAATTAGTGTTGGCCTTGAAGGAAGACAGCTGACCGCATCGACAACGAACATGAAGTAGATATGCACCCGCAGTAACAGCAACAGCAACACCTCTTGAGCAGGTTGTGGAAAGATGAAGAGGGATGAGAGAGCGAGCGCAAGAAAATGGCAAGGGAAAGAGGGAAAGGAAGGAGGCATAAATTGGACTTCAGCTCCCAAGGCCGCAATGCAGCGGCGGGCGACAGAGGCTGCGCTTGACGTAGCTTAACGCTTTCTGGATGGACGGATTCGGCCATGAAAGCCTGATCATAGTCTCCTTTCAGATTTTCTTTGGCAGTTGCAGTTGACGCAGGGTTCACGTTCGCGAGCTCAGTTGGGTAAGCACTACTCTCAGCACGCTAGCTATGCGTGGCATTTACAGTTAGAAAATGCCTCTACCGGTTATTTGGGACACTGCGCGGCTAGCGTTTGGAATAAGGCCACTATGCACAGTGCATTGTTTGAGAAAGGCCAGCATCTTTGATTTAGACAGCTGCAGAGTGAAATCAGAACTTGTCCAGCACAGTGGCCCGCTACTGTCTTGAGTTCTGGAATGGGAGTTTTCTTTCCACTTGGTTTCCGTGGTTGTGCAGTGAGCTTGGACCTAGAGCAGTCACTAAACTCTAAGAACTCCAAGCTGACTTCGCATGCACATCCTGGGCAACAACAGTCTTGAATTGGTTCTGCATACAGTTTTTCATCAAAAAGCTGCTCGCCTTGCCTGTCATTCAGGAGAAATATGCTGAGACGGCCGCGGCCACGATGGTGCCGCAAGCGAGCCCGCAACTGTCCGTGACGCCTGCGACCCAGAGAGCTGCAAAACATTTTTTTTGGAAGCTCTTGGCTGATTTGCTTGCACAACTGCATCCTGCAATTCTGTAAAAACGTGTTTAGCCACCCGACCGCACCTCAAGCACTGGAGTGAGAGGCGCATGAATGGACGCTCCGAGCACTGACTCCTGTTCACTGAGTGCCTGTGCCCTACACATCAGGTCAGTGACGACGGGAACACCTTCGTCTTCTCAATCCGAGGCTCATGGAGCTAAGCCGAGAAGCGTCGAAGGGGTTCTCGACTTCGTCACGCTGATTGAATCTCATTCAGAAGAAGGGATCGTGGACGCATGTGTTTGCGTTTGTAGAGTGTATATTTCATCCAAGCTACTTGGAGAAGAATCTCTTTGGCAGACTCTGTGCAACTGCCGAGAGATTCCCAACGGCAGTGCCACCATTATTGCCAAAGTATTGTAGATTATTTCTAATCGAGGGCCACAGTGTCCGACGCCTAACTCTTTGAGACCGAAGTCCTTCAATGATACTTTGATCCCCAAAAGAATTTTGATGCTATCCTTGTTTTGGCCATGGTATCTGAGAGGAAGGATGCAAAGTTCTTGGTTCCACCACTCATTTTGCAAGACATATAGCGTGCAGCAGCTTCTTCTAGATGTTTCTTCTGCAAATTGTTGCAATTTGCGGGCCTGAGTATGAGCAGGTTGGTTCCAATGGCGGAGTGGAGGAGGACTCAGCTCTTCCCTGAGCATGCTGAGGCAACAATCCTAAGGCGGCTTCATGTTTTTCCCTTGCCAAGCCGGAACCGGGCCATGTTTCACCTTGTGGATGCTTGTTGTGCCGCTCTCCTCATTTGTGCTTCGGATGCTAGCTGTTTCAAATCAAGTAACTTCGGTGGGTCCCGGTTCGATTGAACCTCCAAACGGCTGTCTTGTCCGTTTTGTGATGTTTTGTGCTGGCGCGCGACAGTAAAGACCCGGACGACGTGACAAACATGTGCAAGCCCTCGTCGCTAAGTGCAGTAAGTCTGTGTTTTGAGACTGAGCTGCATGGGTCAAACAGATCTCACTGAGCTAGCTTGATGCGTTGAAGTTGTTTCATTACGAACAGGCAGCTACTTCTGCTGTTCACATTCTTTGTTCTGCCACAACAATTCGCCGCAATGGGTTTCGGGCATGACGGAGCAGTTACTGAGCAGGATCGAATCTGCAGACGCCGAAGTACGAAACAGGAGAGTTCACATGCGTGCGATGATGCCTTCAAACTTGAGCTAGCAATGCTTGTGTCATATTGCTGTTATGTATGCCGCCGTTTGTTAGGATGGTTTGGTATCAGCCAGTCTTCCAACTGGACACTGATGCTGAAACAAAAACCACGCTTTTGCAGGCCAAGAAAATCGCCGTACTTTTGCAGCTAAACTTCACCTCAAATGCTGAAGGCCAAACTGTGCCACATTCCAGATCCTGAGGCCTGGGAGGACCATGTCCACTCTCAGATCCGTTGGGCTGCCGAGGCCATGTGATCTGAAGCTTCTTGGTAAACAAATGCCCGACGATGCTTCTCAACCTTGATTTTCTTAGCCTTGATTTTGGACAGCCCTAGTGACGCTGCTGTGAAGTGGCATGGCGTTGCTGAGTGGGTGTCCTGTACGTGTAGTTGCGCTGCTGGATGCCCGAACTCGAGAGTGCGGAGACGGGATCTGCAGAGTCTAGCACAGTGAACCTCTACGTAGCATCCATACAGTCTTTGACTTAAGACTTAAGATTCTCCGAGCAACACGTGCAGCTCTTGGACACGGGTCTTTGTGCCCCTATCAAGCACGACAGGCAGCAAAGTTCCGTCAGGCACGGCATTCTCAGTTGCTGTCGGGCTTGTGAGGTGTGCAGTTTCTAGGAACAGCGAAGCTGGTGGTGGACGAGAGGGATAAGTCTAGGTAGGCCACGTCCTTTTGCTTCTGGAAGGGAGAAAGTTTCCAAGGCAGAATCAACAACCTCTGAGTACCTGAGAAGCGAGCATGTCATGAATTTTGTGCAGTTTTGTTAGTTCAGTTGCCCATGCCTTGTCTTCACGAATTGGGCCCGTCTAAATCCAGGATGACGCTGCGCTGCCTTGGGCAGAAGCGCTACGGGGGCTTGGCCCTCCTGGCCAGTTCGAGGCCTCGCATTTAAGTTAGCGTTGGTTATTTGGAGTCCGCTCTGCAGAGCGTCACTTGGGTAAGCGAGGGCAAGCTGTCACAAAGGTGTTTTTTCTTATTTCTCATTCTGAATGATTTTCACCCGCGAGAGAGCGAGGCAACCTCAGCTCAGATTCGGGCCGCTGAATACTTTCAGGAGCAGCAACTGCCGCTTGCCCAGATCCAACAGCCGTTGATGTCTCATGATCTAACGCGACAATCCGCACGGACTCTACTACCTTTACTCTTGAAGTATAGACCCGCGACGGTCCATGACCCAAGCCTCTGGCCGTGTCCCAAGGTATGAGCAGTATCTTCTAGAGTTGCAACGTTATCAACAGGCCGGATCTGCTTGCATGCCTCTAGGGCATGTTTGGGAGTTGGGATGCTTGCCCAGGCACAGCTATCTTGCAATCATACATGGGGCTGAATGCTTGAGGCCGCTTTGTATGTGCGACGGGTGGAGAAAGATGGTCTAGCATTCTTGCTCCCATTGATGAAGTGTCTTCCAGAGTGAAGCGTGCCGCCTGGGGCTGTCCCTTGTGAGTTTATCCTGGTGACAGGCACTTGGGAGGCACGGTGTGCAACAGAAGCTGGTGCAGACGCTTTCCATCAGAAAGGGCGCAGGTGAAGAGGCAGGTAAACTGTTTCAACTACAAAATTGAAGCAGGGCAGCCTATAGCAGCCGGTTCCTGTGAGCCAGACACCGTGTTGTCTTGTGAGGAATCATCCCGAGCCTGTACCAAACGTTTTAGCCTTGACATTCCCAAGCTGAAAAAACTTCTGCTCCTTAAGACATTGGCAACCATGCCTGCATGTACCAGCTTAAAATCTGATGCACCTACCCGAATTCATGAACCTTGTGTGATCCAAGGATGCAACAGCAGGCTGCCTCCTATGCTGAAGCCTCGAATCTGATGCCGCTTGGTCGAATGCGGATGATAAACAACTCAGTGCAAATCGCGTAGGGTGGGTTTCGAGGCCCCCTATTCTAATAGCAATAGAGACAGCATCTATAGTTTAGCAATACGTCAACAGCCATTTGCTCTTAGACCTAGAGTCTGCCTTCCTTTGCTCAAGTGCCCGCACCTGATGCTTTTGTTCCTCATGCAGAACCAGTAACCAAGCCTGAAGCTTCATCTTACATGTACGGTGGAGAGGTGGAGAATTGATTCGTAAAGCCCTGCTGCCAAGGTCAGCGCAGCTGGCACAGTACCGGCTACTACAGGAGCGAGCCCAGGCACCCGGGCTGTGGCGGGCTGTGGAAACACGATGCTCGTGTTTTCCACATTTTTCCATCATGGTTTTTTGAAGCTGTGCTGAAAACTAGCTGGCGAGGTGCAGCAGTCACACTTCTCGCAGCAGATGCCCAACTCTTCGATGCCCCTGTGCTTTGACAGTCTTTTTTTTCTTGTTTGTATTTCTTAATTGCACCAACCTTCAGCTCAGCATGAAGCCCAGAAGTGGTCTGCAGACGCTTTGGATGATTTGTCTCAGGCATAAAGCAAGTTCTGGATTGCAGGTCTCAGTGAAGCCTGTTTCGTTTTGCCAATGCCTCTCCTTGGTGTAGCAGTTTTCCGAATACCTGGCAGCATGGAGCAGATTCAGTTCTCTTCCCAGGCTCCCAGCGGTCGTGCTCTCAGAGCTGCAGAGTGGCATCCATCTTTCTGGGGCTCTTAGTTTTCGAGGGGTGGGGAGGATGAGGAGGCAACTCAGGAAACGAGCTGTAGTACCTGCATGGCACGACTGCGTGGGTTCAACATCTTTCACGAGCCTTACCTATGGTGAAGGCTGCTCACAGGTTTTGCTCTTGCATAAACAGAACTGCTGGCTGCAGCCCATTTCAGCAGCCTGCTTCGCTTCCTGAAGCGGCCCTCAGCTTCTCCAAAATGGCTGAGAAGGAGGACAATGCCATAGTCAAACAGACATGACCACCAAGCATGTGCTCGGATTCCCGCTCTTGAGCCAAGATTTCGCAGAAAGGGTCTGAGCAGCGTCGGGTCGGTGGTGCCATCTAAAACAACTACGTGGATTCCTATACGGAACCATGATCTTCTGATGACAAGGGAATCACCCAGGTTTTTCTGAATGGCTCCTTTTAAATTTAAATGTTTTTAAGTCTCTATGTTTGAAGGCTCTTGCTTTCTCAGCCTGTATGTTGGTCATGACGCATGTATTGTTAACATGACTTTAGGGTGGCGGCAAACGAGTAGAATGAGCATGAAAGTGATCATGGAAGCAGCTGAAGGATGAGCTTCCTGACTTCGATGACCAGGAGGCAGCGGTCTTTGCCCTGGCTTTGTGTCACGATGGTCTCAGTCACGGGACGTGGCTCTGGAATTATGGATAGCAGTCATGAAGACAAGTTCACTGCAGTAAGTTTCAAGTGCTTCAGCCCTCTTTGCACCGACAGGATGCAAAGAATGATGAGGGCAAGGAGGCGGAGGCGCCAAGCGGAGGGAGTTCAAAAGAGGCAGTTTCAGAACGAACGGAGGCTGCTTGGGAGTTGCCTGAATGCCACCACGCACGTTTGGCAGAAAGGCGTTGGAGTTGTTCCAAATGGTGGAACTGCTATTCAGCATGAGCAGGAAGTCTGAGACCGTATATGTTGCTGCCGCTTTGATGGCAAAGACCCTGTGCCCGGTGTGTGAAATTTGGGATTGGCAAGGCCAAGAAGAATCAGGCTGCCCTCCACGCATCCGGCTTCAAGGACTTCCTGCTTAAGCTCACACCTCAGTCTTGCCTCACTGCAAAATGGAGCTTCATTTCGAGATCTACTTCCTGGCTTGGAACTGCTGGTGAATTGGCGAGCTGTAGATGCCGAGGGAGTTATTGCTGCTGCTGTTGCGGCTACATGTTGCTGCCAATGATGTTTGCCTGGGTTGAGTCACGATTTCCCGCTGTGAGGTCGTGTGCAGGTGTTTGCATGCATTTAGAGACTGTTGGGGTTGTTTGGGGCTTTTCCTCCTATGTGAGGCCTGAGCTAATCCGAGCCATCGTGGACTGCGGCTTTGAGCACCCATCAGAGGCATCTTCAGAGTTCAAAAGCCATGACTGGGACTTCTTGAGTTGAAAGGCATGGATTCATGTTTTTTTGTTGCGTGAGAGTGTTTGAGTGATTGCCCATAACCTCTTCACAGAAAGGATCACGCGTGTCTGCACGTGTGACATTGGGGGCATTTGTCACTTTATGGCCATCGCACGATGCGTGGTAATGTGGGCGTTCAGTTGGTACGCAGCGATTTGACAGCAAAGTCCAGCAATGTGGAGGAAAACTGCGACGTTTAACTTCTTCTCAAATCAGTGGGAGCTCGCATACTTGAATACCCGTCCGAGCCCCTCATGTGTGGCGTGTGTGCAGGTGCAGCACGAGTGCATCCCGCAGGCAGGCCTCTTCACTAGTACCTTTCCTGATAGCAGCGAGTCTGGTGGAAGTGGTCTCCTAGCCTCAGCCGTCCAGTGCGGATTGTGCAGTCTGCTTTTCTGATCAGGGCCCCCTCACTCAAAGCACGGGGTTTTCCCACCTCACCCTAAAATCGAATTGCCGATATGAAAAGCCCTAGCAACAACTGCGTTCCAGGCGATTCTTGGCACGGACGTGCTTTGCCAGGACAACTTGCGTGTTGAATCGATGCGTGTGGGAGATAAGTGTGAAGAAGCATCGTGTATTGGAGACGCTTACAATGGTTCTTGCTTGGTCTTGCGTACCTGCACATAGTTTGTCACCGAGGATGTTTAGCATGAGGTGTGCTTTGATTGCAGGCGAAGTCCGGCATGGGCAAGACTGCAGTTTTCGTGTTGGCCTGCTTGCAGCAGGTCGGCATCTTCACATGCTAGATTCTGCTAGATCATGTCACTGCTTGATACAGGCTACTCAGCCATCCTTTGTCTCTCAGGGCAGCTATGCCTGTTCCATGCAGGTGGACTCGTCTGAGAAGGCTTGGATCTTTGTGGAGTTTGCCTGTCAGCCTTGTTGCAGCCGCGCATTTTCCGATTTAAAGCCCGCAGATCCACGGTGAGGAATGATCACAACTACTCAGGCCGTGCGAACTCTGGTGATCTGTCACACGCGCGAGCTGGCGCACCCTGCCATAATCAAAGGTTTCATTGATTGGTGCTTGCTTGGGCCAGGCTTCTTTATTGGAGGGATAAAGGAGTTTCGTGCCACGGAAGTTTGGGGTTTGGTGAGGTGCAGAAGTTTTTCATGAGGGTTGGGCGGTATAGGTTGAAGTGGCAGCAGTACATACCTGCTTTATCGTCACACTGTTACAGTTAAAACAGGGTGTGATAGAACATTGAGCTTGGCAGCTGTGCGCCGTGCGCTCAGGTATCAGATCAAGCATGAGTTCGAGCGATTTGCAAAGTACTTTCCAGCTCGGGGCTTGGAAGGGCCAGGGTGTACTATGCTTGGTCTTTGTGGTGGAAGTTTGTGCGCACTGGTTAGATCGGCACGTCTAGTGGTGCGCTGCGAGACAAGCACCAGCTAGATGATTCCGGCTTGTGGGTGTACATTTTTGCATTTTAGGTGTGGCAGGTCAAGTGCCATGGCAGCGATCCGGCTATTGTTGCAGATTTGACATATTGCACGTCTCAATGTGTATCCTGGCACCGAGGAGGTCAAGACAGCTGTGGTGTATGGTGGCACCCCTTTGCAGAATGACAAGGATCTTCTAAAGGACTCAGCCTCGGTGCCTTCTGCACCTAAGTCGTCAATCCTTCCACTTGCCAAACTCAGCCACTCAACCAGATTTGTCAATGACATCTTTTGTTTTTGACCTGAGCCTGAAGCTACCTTTTCTATGTAAGAGTGCCATGTCGTATCAGGACTCCTGCCCTCACATTTTGATTGGTGTCTCGGCGCGGTTGGTGTTCATGGGATGTAATAGAGCAGGTCGCGTGTTGTGATTGCAATACCCCCGCCGTCGTTGCGTAGTGGACGGAAAGTTCCGTCGGTGGCATGCGTGATCCAGACACTCATGTGCTTTGCATCTGGGCACACTCATCCTATGACCAGTTGCCTTGGTGGATTTGTATCCATGTGGCTGAGGCACACCTGGCCGCGTCTTGGGGCTCCTCCGGGAGAAGGATTCTAACACGTCGTTGAGTGGTACCTGAGCTTTTGTGATGCTGGACTCCTTGTGCTGCGGGCAATTTTGTGAAGTATGTGGAGTCACCGCTGACACTGGAGGGGTTGCTTTGTTGGAAGGGGGGGTGATCACAGATAGCAGCTTCTTCTTCAGCAAAGAGGTAGTGAAAGGTTTGACCACGGCATAAAGAAAGCGCAGGAGACACTGCAGTCGTGGCTGGCATGCTGGTATTGTAGAAGAGAATTCTCGCAGCTGGAGGACCTCAAGCTTGACAAGCTCCAGCAGTTTGTCCTGGATGAGTGTGACAAGTGCCTGGACAAAGTGGACATGCGGAAGGATTTTGCAGGGTTGCGGGATTAGGATAATTGATATCCCTTTGCTTTGCTATGCTGCATGTCTTGCAAGAAGGCATTGTTTAGAGACTCATGTTGCATTTTGGGTGTTTACCATACTGGTTGCCGCAGATTTCTTTCTTGGACAGCTCAACAAAGAGATTTGTACCTACCACGACGCACGTGGTACCGAGTGTCAGCGGCAGAAACAGTACTGGAAAGAGCTGTGGCAGGACGTGCAGCAAATCTTCATGGAAACGCCCAAGAAGAAGCAGGCAGTGGGTTTCAAGGACTTTGAGGTTGGTTTGGCTGCAAGGAAGGCCCAAAGAGAACTATGAGTTCTTGAACATGTCCACGGACAGCCTATGGTCCTGCAGTGACAGCAATTCAGTCAAACCGTGGACATGAATGTTTGCACGTCCTCGGTCATAGATTGCAAGGCCATGAAACCTGTACATCTCCGCACTGATTGTGACAGAAGCGCCAGCTGTGGTATTTTGCTCTCATGTGCCGACAGGTCATGATGTTCAGTGCAACCATGTCCGCGGAAACTCGGGCCCTCTGCAAAAAGTTCATGCAGGCAGGAACCATATGCTGCGCTAAGTTGTTGGGGATTTTTAATTGTCTTTCAAAGGCACAGGCCTGAATGTAAGCTTTTTTGCAAAGTTTCATGTTGGAAAGGATCCGTTTCGCTTGAGGATCTGCGTGGATGAATTGGGTTGAACGGCTTGAGCAGCTTTCTGCAGCATCATTCTGCATGTTCCCGTGAGGGGGCCAGTCAGGATTTGCTTGCCAGACTTGTTCCAGTCTTTCTAGAGCTAGTTGTAGCATCAAATGAGCTGCCCCTCCCAGGACCCGCACGAGATCAGAGTCGACGAGGAGTCCAAGCTCACACTGCACGGCCTGTTGCAGTACTATGTGAAGCTCACCGAAAAGGACGCAGCAGCACATTGCCCCGGAAAAGATTTTGAAGCTTCAAAGTCCTTCTGTGAACAGAAGCGAACTCCTGTTAATTGCCATGCCAACCCGGGGTCGGCTCGAATCTTCAGCTTCGCCCTGAAGGAGAAGAATCGAAAGCTAAACGACCTTCTGGATGCATTGGAGTTCAATCAGGCGACCATCCTCAATCTGCAAGTTGCACTAATCACTCTGACGGAACCAATGGTGGCAGTACCATCCATTCAGTAGGCAGTGATCGGAGCATGCAGAAAGACGAGCTCGTAGTGCGCTTTAGACAGCCGCAGACATTTGGCATCATCTGGTTGCGTCCCTGTAGCATGGATTCAGCTGAGACAGTTCCAATCAGAAGGTGGTCATCTTTGTGAAGTCCGTGCAGAGGGCCATCGCACTTGATAAGCTTCTGGCATCCTGGCTGTCAAGCTAAACTCGTGGCAGTCTTATTCATCATGCTCATGGAAGCCATGCATGTTTTTTCCCACTTCAGTCTTTGGGGATCGCTTAAAAGTGAATGAGGGTTGCCACGTATCCTGGTTGTCATGCCTACTGCAGCTGGTGCTCAAATGATAGATGGCGTCCATGTCTGGGCTCGGGACAAAGGACGTGTGGCTCAGGTGGAGTGTAATTTTCCATCCATCGCCATCCACTCCGGGCTTCAACAGGAGGACGCTTAGCAGAACTTTACACACCTGTGCTGAGCCTCAGAGCGCGCTCTTCTGTGCTGCTGTGACAGTTCATCTCAAAGATAGCCAGAGCTTGTCCGACCTCGTTCAGCGTATGAAATCTTTGGTCCAAACTGAACAAGGAACGTATCACGCGGTACAAGCAGTTCAAAGACTTCCAGAAGCGGATCCTGGCGCCCTGGGCAACAATTCATCTCAAAGTAGTCTCTGTGATGCCAGACATTGGCTCTGCAGGTATCCACGGACCTCTTTGGGCGAGGTATCGACATCGAGCGTGTCAACATTGTAGTCAATTACGACATGCCAGACGAGAGTTCCCTGGCTGAGATCAAAAAGCATGTTCACTGTTCACATCTCGAAGCAAATGGTAGAGGCGTGATGCAATCACATGCAGTCTCATCAGTTGTGCAAGAGCCATCGCGCTCGAAAGACAGCCACACTGCTGTCACAGAAGCATTTTTTGGATCAAACTTCAAACAAAGCGGATATCTTGGGGAGAAATCGTCAACACATGGAGGAATTGAGACAACAGCACCAGCCCTCATCAGGTGACTCTTACCTTCATCGTGTAGGTCGAGCAGGGCGCTTTGGCACAAAGGCGCGGCGACCATTTCGGTGCAGTTTCCGGTTCGCGCATCAGGCGCTACTTGTAAGCTTGGTGTGTGTGTACAGGCCTGAAGGACTGCCTATACCATATGAGAAGAATGAACTTAGTCAAATTTGAGAGCCGATTGTTGCGACTTCGGATGAGTTAGGGGGACAATTTGCAACAAATGCTCCTTGTGCTGCCAGGGGCTTGCCATCACGTTTGTGGCCACGGATGATGACCAAGAGGTCACAGTGCTGTGTTGCTATCAGCTGGGCCTGTAGTTTTTGCGCCGATCTGATAGTTATGTTATGCCCAGCATTTGCAGGTCCTGAAGAAGGTGCAGGAAAGATTCGAGGCGGGCTGGTGCCTGTGGCATTCTCACAGGGCACGGATAAAGAATAACATGTAGTCCTGACTGAGGTTGCAGAGGTTGCAGCACTTGGTGAGAGCAGGGCAAACCACTCTTTGACCTCTTGGATGGAGAAGGGGCACAGAAGTTGCAGGATCACACTCATCAATGTTCCCCATTTGTGCAGCGTGGCGATGTCCCGACAGCAAGGAATGCAGAAGGGCGCCGCACGATTCGGGGTCACCATTGGATGCATGGCAGACAAAGATCCGCCTGGTGGGCAGAGCTATTGTCATGGTTACCTTCAAGACCTTCTACCTTCGCACGCGCTCCAGGTTATTGGAACGTCCTCTGGTTGTCGAACCCGCGCTGCACACAGATCACGTGCAGGTCGCCTGCCCATTCTCTGCAGGCAGGTTAAATCGTGCCCCATGAACAGATACCAGCAGGAGTCAAAATCGTGGATGGCGTGGTATAGATGAAAATGATGCAGAGATGTGAAGGTCCAAAGTCCAAACCCCCAACAAGAGTCAACGGGAGGAATCTTGTACAAAAACATTGACTGGCTTCATTGCACGCAAGTTCCCTGCCTGTAATGTGTCGGTGGCCGGTATATCAAAACCAAAAAGGGCAGCAGAGATCCGCGGTGCGTCACGGTGGGTTCGGGGGTGGAGGAAATTGAGGTGGAGCAGCGTTGCTTTGACTGCATCGTCGCAGCCGGCTGCCAAAGAATGGCTTAAGTCATCGTCTAACATCAATTGTTGACTGCTGTGCCCAACATGCTCGAAGACTTCAGCTTCCTTGTCACAGCACCGAATGATGGCAACCCCAGCTCCATCATGACCGCCTCTACGTGCCCGATATTGCCTCTTCAGTTGGACTCCGTCGGCTTCGCCATAGACAGTTCCCCAGACCGCCGGAGGACTAGCTCAAGTGCAAGGATTCCGGCATGGTCATGTAGATTCAATAGTCCAGCTATAGGGTATGTTGTCACCTGGACTGAAGTTCTTGCCTGGCACAGGCTGGTAAGGGCAAGCCGTTGCATTTGTAGGGGCATCGCCCCTGCGCCCAACTGCATGATCATTGTAGTCCTTTTCACCTTTGCCGCCTGTTGCTAGCCTCGTGCGAGCTAGCCCTCGGCTGGCCGCATTGGCCGCATTGGCCGCATTCTGCAGATGCTTCAGTCACACCGGCATGCTCGCACGTGAAATCCCCGAGAACGGTGAACACAGGGTGAGGCGATGTGATGACAGCTGCACTCTCAGACAGCGCGTGCTGGAAGAGACGTGGTTTGGGCAAGCTGCTCACAGGCTCCACAATCGTTAGCTTCTGGCTTTGCGCTCAAAGCGCTGGGTCCACCGTGGGAACAAGCCGGCGCCAGCAGAAGATGCTTCCAGCGGTCGGTGTTACGTATTGTTGTTTCTAACCACCAGTTGCTGAAGATATCCTGCAGCTTGGCTGAACATGCCTCGGATGGCCGGTCTCAACCCCCAACACGGGTGCAGTACGAGGCATCAGCCATCACAAATCCAACCAGTGGTTCGCCGCCTGCATTGCTGAACTTTGGCCATGCCACGCAGCAGACTTGGCGACCACCAGATAAGGCGTTGGTTCCAGTATTCCTCTGCACCCAGGGCTAGGGTGGCTAGGACCTCAAGGGTGATCAGAATGTATAGGTAGGAGTAGAACGCAGTGTTCAGGCAGCTGGATCAGTGAGTCTCCCATTGCAAACAAGACCCTGAAGCTTACAATTGCGAGGTGAACATCGGCGAGATGCCGGCATCGATCGACACCACCTCTTACCTCAATGCCTGATCTGCGTCCGTGCGAAGTTTCACGGTATGTCTCCAAACTTTAGAACTTGCGGTAGATTGAAGTCTTGTGATTGTTGCCCATGACAAGTGTGTGCACATGGCCTTGCAAGTTCTCAACTTGAAAGGCCACTTAAGGCTTGGCCAGACGAAGACGAAAAGCTGCGTAGACACGAAGAACTCAGAAGGACTTTCCTACCAGCAAGCGCATCTCCAGAGTTCATTCTTTTGAGACCTTCTGTCACCAACCCTCTCTTTCTTCTTGTCGAAGTGTTTTGCTTGCAAACGATGTTTGTGTTGCTACATCAATATCTAGTCCGCTGCCCATGTTTGCAGGGAAAGAAACCCATGCAATCTCGAAGTCAGGAACAACTTCCCACCTCAGGGCACAGATTGGATGAGGTGGGCACTGTTTTAGTGCGCCATGTGCTGGTGCCGTATGTTCATTCAGTGGATCTTCATTCGTGTTTGCTTCAAGTCGACAACGCCCTAACCTCCGAAGCTAGAACACGTCCAAGCTGTGACTCGCATTTGATGCAGTGACGTGCAGATGGCCAGGGAACAATGCTAGCTTGGCAGCCTAGAGAGTCTATAGTTTAGCAGAGGTCCATTCATTCCTGTCTCCAGAAGGAAGGGAGGAAAATCAATTCCAGTGATGTGAGGATTCAGCAGCTGTCTTTCCAATCTTCTATTCGACTGTTTCGCCCGCTTTCGCTCTCAACCCAACTCTCCCCCGAGCAAATCTTACTTTGCCCAAGACCTCCGTGGCATTTGTCCCTGGCAAGCTGAGTGACGAGCGCGGTTGGCAAGACACAGGAAACGGCGGTCACGTCTGATAAAAGACTCGAGGGTGGTTGCAGCTTGATGGGGCGACAACGTATAGCAGCTTCTGTATGCAAGTGTCGCTGTACAGCTAGTTGAGCCTAGCAATAGATTTAACAGGCCTGAGGGTGGCACGCAGCACGCGTTGGTTGACATCTAACCATAGGTGTCTTGCTGCAATCAACATGAGTTCTTGGGCGGTATCAAGCCGAGGCCTATTCGACAACCTTTGCTCCTCAGGCCCGTCAATGACACGTTGGAGGGAGAGTCTCAGAAACAAACTATGTGAGTCAAACGTCATGCAGACTGCTTGTGTAGGAAGCCCCAGTTGGTGAGTGAGCACTTGACCAATCTTTGGGGTATCATAAGTTATGCACTCAGGTGGAGGCTTTCAAGGCTACATGTTCATCTTAGCTGGAAAGTTGGCGTGTATACTTGCCACAAGGTTTTGAATCTACGAACAAGTGCTATTCTGAGCCCTGCTTTGGCACAAGTCACCTTGGTCACCATGGAGGTACCGAGTGTCAACACCCTTGGTGCTATGTCGCAGCAGGCAAAGTGCCAAACGCTTTGTTACATTGGCCAGCCCTCTGAATTAGCGTTTGTTGTGCAGCTAGGCCCAGACTCAGACTCTATCATCAGCTGAAGCATGGCCATGCCTGCATATGCAGTCATCTGGACGGTGCAGGTTTCATGTGTAGCTGATCTTCTAATTGGTTGCTTTGTATGACTTCTTGTTCTGGCAGTGATCTGGAGGAAAACAAAGCTCAAAACAGTTGGAGCTGCATCCACTGCCTTACAGGCATCGTGGCCAGGGCAGGTGCAGCAGTGGGAGAAGCCCTGCAGTTGCTCGGCTGAAGGAGGCATGCTTGTTCGTATTCAGGGTAGTGCCAAAGTCTCCAGATAGCAAGTAGGTTCGGCTTTGTTGCAGGTATTTGTTCTCAGTTCTCAGTATTGAGGGTCTCTGAAGCAATCAGGCGCTTCAGCTCTCAAAGCGCC